CCAAATAACCATCTTGGAAATCCTTACTGGCACACAAGGATCAAAACCTACAGATCCTGAAGGATTTATTAAATCTACTAGATGGCTAACATTTAAACACCTATTTTCCTTCAAAGGTAGCAAATCCAGAATGCTTTCACAGCAATAAAGCGGTTCCTCAACAATCACAGTTACCAAGAGTTTGTGCGGCTGCAGCACTTCCCCAAAGGTCAGGTATTTATTTATTCTCTGTTTGTTGCCTCAGCCCGTCAGAAAACACACACTTGTTTTACACCTCAAAAATCTCTTTCATCCACGGATGGCACTACAGGAAGCGGCGGCAGGAGGAAGGCAACAGAAATGTTTGAAGAGCAGAGACTCACTGACCGGGTGAGCTGAAGCTGTGGACTACACGGACAGACTTACTTTCTCTCACTGCTGATACAAACATGTTCTGGAACCAGACCCAACACAGAAGAGAATTATATCACTTCAGCCTGCACTGGTTACTGAACACATCGAAATCCAGGCAGCTCATATGTCTCAAAAGAACATTAGCTGCCCTCCCCGAACCCTGGGCCACCCCCAAAAGCGTATGTCTACCTGTGACATCATGAGTAAATGATTTTTTTTTTTTTAAAAAAGATGAGTTTGTTGTGTACAACATCTACGAATGCTGTAATTAGGCTCTGTGTTCAGAAACATCAGATGAGTTTCCACCAGCCAATTACAAAAAGAACAGCTTTGCTGAAAGCCTCTTCATTTATTTCATCAAGGAACCGGGTTGATGTGCAGAAGGCAGGCGAGGGAAGAGGCCATCCTTCCAGGATGCACGGCCACGCCACACGCTGTTTTACAGGCGCAACCAACAGTCTCAGAGGCAGTCACTGCTTTCCTTACCCACAGTCACATTCCTCACCTTGGGCAGCCCCTCCAACAGTGAAATGTCATCGTCTTCACATGCTTTGGGCCACCTGCTCCCTCACAGCAGGGCACAGGCATGGGGGCACGTGCATCCACAATTCTCCTTCTACCCAAAAGGCCAAGCTGGCTCCAGTTTTCCTGACAATTTACTCTTCAGGCAGCAGAAACTGAGATTGCAAAGGCTCAGCTGAAAACTCAACATTCAAAGTTATAACTTCCCATTTTCCAACAATCCTTCTAGAAAACATTGCACTTCACTGTTGTGGTTGCTCCCCCCACCTCCCCACACATACACAATAAATCATTTTTTACCTCAATAGCAGATGCAGTTGCTTTCTTGTAAAAACCCAGAGTTTAAAGATGACTTCTTCCACTTGCCATAATCCATTGTGTGGGAGAAACAGACATACAATATCATATTGTTCCCTGTACAACACTTTGAGCTGTACTTTCTGCTCTGAACACACTGAAACTCCACTTGAGGCTACAGCAATTTCCATGCAGGAGGCAAAGGAGAATCTTGTATCTGATCTAATACAGGATAAATCAATGTGCACTCATTTATTGCTTATAGTTCCCATCAGCTCAAGGAGAGACACTGTCCTAGAGTTTCAAGGCTATCCACGCTGCCTTTGTATATGGAAAACATACCTCGCACTTTGAGATAATTTTGAGAACTCCGTTCAAACACTTCCCGGGAGTTCGGGTGAGGGACTGGAAATCACTAAACTCCGGCTAGTTCTCACCGTTTTCAGTACGTGATTTTGGGAAAGGTCATGCAAGGATTGCATCCCCATTTTCGCCTTCTACAGAAATTCAGTTAATATTAGTCATGCACCTCAGACAGGTGCTGGGATGCTTAATTAGAGTGTGTACAGCACTCAAAGATTCTCAGATAAGATGTACTAGGGAAGGGCAGCATCATATTAATTAGCGTGGATTCAAGTGATGAAAGCGCTTCTCTCTGTCTCCTTCAGCTGTTGGAGCTTGAAAGAAAAATAATGCAGCACCACAGTCCTACATGTTGGAGTCAGAAAACCATTGGCAACACATTTTTCTGGGTGCAGTGTGAATTTCTGTCAACCTTGGGGACTCTGGCCTTTTGCTGTGGCTGTGAACAGGAGCTCCCTGGAAGACGTGTATCCCAGCACAAGCCAAGGAAGGCAGAGTTTTAATATTCCTCCCCATGCAAGTATTTTCTCCCATTAAGTGCTTAAGAGCTGTATGATTAGGGAGATTAATTTTTGCAGCTGGACATTTTCTTTAAGAATGTAATTTTCCACACAGTTTTCTCATTTAGCTTTCTTTTATTCTAACCCCAAGGCATTCACTTACCCAAAAGAGGACTCTTCTGCAAGATTTGGAAAGGAGTATACTCTTGCACTTTAGTCCTTTCTTTTTACATTTGCAATAGGCTTGCTTTCTGAAAACCCTGTTAGTACTTATTTCAACCCAGGAACTCATCTGTATTTCCAGACAATCAACACCAAGAGCTGGAAATTCAAATTCATTTGTCCAAGGACCTGGTCATAACAAAGCCACATCATGGATCAATTTTAAAAAAAAAAAAAAAAAAAGGCACCAGAAGTTCCTTAAAAAACATGAAAGTTGATATACTGAAATGACACAGAAACACGGTGATTAGCGGGATGGTTGTGACAGGCTGGAACAAGGATTAAAATTTAGAGAGGTTCATTGACGTAGCAACACCGAACAAGAGCGCAACTTAATTACTATCAAC